CCCCCCCTTCCTTCTTTAATCGCATACATATTTGCTTTCTTTGAAGGAGCAGCTGTTCCTAGGGTGGATGGGCCAGTAACGAAGACCGAGGGATTAGGAGGGATTCCTTATCCCATCTGGCAATTGCACTTTTTTGGGGTGCTGATTAGGGGCATATCCTGCGCTAGGTAAATTTGCTAGGCTTCAACCTTCTTTCATGAAGTGTGCAGAACCCGATGAGAAACATCCTCAGGCAATCCCCACTGACAGGGCCAAGCTGCAGGCAGGGCACGGAACACGGGTGTTGGGTTCAAGATGAAGGAGCGGATACCAGCACTGTTGTCCCTCAGGCTATCAGCGAGAAAAGTCCAGCATCAGAAGCCAAAGGACAGGGAGAGTCTGGCCTCTTATCTACTCTTATCTATAAAGTTAGAAATGATTTTTCAAATGGCACAGGCTTTTATCAATCTGTTATCTGACAGCTCTTCAAGTAGAAAGTGAAATTTTTAATGGTCCTTGAAGATCTTGCAAACGTCAGCAATTCACTGTCTATATATCTTGTAGAGTAAGGGGAACCTGAGACTAATAAATAGGTAAACTCTGGGCAGCATCTGGGGGGAAGTTACAGGTGTCTGGTAAAGAATTTCTAATCCCTTGTGGATTTGGGAAGGGGACAGGAACAGAAAAGTACAATGAGGCCTGGGTCTAGGAGGAGGACCAGACAGATGACATGGTGGTTCAGGGCATGGAGTCAGATTACTTGGGTTCAAATCTCAACTGTACAGTTTGTTACTTGTATGGTCTTGGGCGGCTTACTTAATCTTTCTGAGCATCAGTTTCCTTATCAGGGCAATAAGGACAGTAGTCATCACACTTATTAAAAGTATCAACCTAGGGGCGCTTGGGTGGCTCAGTGGTTAAGCGTCCGACTCTTGATTTCGTCTCAGGTCATGGTCTCATGGTTCATGAGTTCAAGCCCCACATCAGGCTCCACGCTAACAGTGCGGAGCCTGCTTGCCTGCCTAGGATTCTCTGTCTCCCTCTCTCTTTTCTGCATCCCTGCTCATGGGCACATGCACACACACACACATACATTCTCTTTCTCTCTCTCTCTCAAAACAAATAAACTTAAAAAAAAAAAAAAAAAGGCAGTTGGTGCCTGGGTGGCTTAGTCAGTTGAGCATCCGACTCTTGATTTCAGCTCGGGTCATGATCTCTTGGTCATGAGATCTAGCCCCTCATCGGGCTGAGCATGGAGTCTGCTTGCGACTCTCTCCCTCCCTCTCTCTCTCTCTCTGCTCCCCCCCTGCTTGTTCTCTCTCTCTCTCTCTCTCTCTCTCTCACTCAAAATAAATAAATATCTTTTTCAAAAGTATCAACCTAGATAATTTGCACGTCGTGCCTAGCACTGAGACTGCTCTTATTGGACAGACTTCCTAGAGTTGCTGAGGAATGTGGTTGCTGGCCAGTCTTGCAGTGGCCCTTCCCTGGGAGGACAGGGTCTCTGCATTTGCTTTTTATGGTATTTAGTCTCTGTCTTATTGGGCGACGTGTGGCCACTAATTAGGGAGCAGTGAGGTGGCCCGGGAAGAAACATTAGATAAAGCAAAGAACAAAGGAATCGTAAAACAGCGGGGCCGCACAAATGATATGTGAAACCGTATTTCTGTTTATTTCTGAAATTAACCCCTTCTCTCTCCCTTCCTCCTCCACCTCCCGGTTGCTCAAGGTTTTACTCTGCATAACCTACACCCCGACCTTTGACCTGAATGGGAGCGCAGTGCTGAAGATCGCAGAGGTGAGTGCCCCACTTCTCCCAGCCCCCACTGGCTGCTCTGCTCCGTTGGTGCATGCGCACAGCTGCCTTACCGCCCAGCCTGCTTAAGCACGGGCTGGAGCTGCAGCCCGGCAGTGGGGGGAGCCCTTTTCTGATCATTACCTTGGGGGAATTTCCACTAAGGAATTGATCTATAGGAAGCGGGCTGTGGGCGCCAACATGCTCGATAGTCGTGCTCTGCATGCTTTGGTTTGCTTAACTGGAGGCTTTAAAATGGAAATAACAGTACTGGTTCTTCCACCACTGCCACACCCGGGTATCACACCTAGCACTGCCTTCCCAGTCTGTTTTTCATAAGGGTAATTGAGAAGCAATTGATTTTAAAAATGGTTTTTAAGAAACCAGGTACAAAAGTGAGAGACATGTTTACCGATGAAATTCCATCCCCCTCCCCCAAGCCCCGATGAACGCATTCTGTGACTATCATTGGAAAGCCTTCTCTTTTCCATCTGTGTTGCAGACTGAGTCCTTTGTACCTTCCAGCACTTCCAAGAGCATGTCCAACAGAAATCTTGGCTTCTTGAATGCCTGGCATATGCCTTTGGCTTTTGGAAACGTCAGCATTCCAAAGCTATACTTTAATACACTTAGACTACTTTTCCTACCATTTCTTGAAACGAGTATCTTCAGGATTCATGTGTTTTGACAAGCGTACACATGCAGACCTCAAAGAGGCAATGATATTCTGAATTCTGAAATTATGAAGAAAAAGCTTAACGATCAGTGGGTTTTTTGTGTTTTTTTTTTTACAGTAATGATTACCATTTCTTGAGGATACCAAGTTGATATTGAGCACTTTGGGCATGCCTTCTTTTTTCTTTTTCTCATTATTGAGGTAATAGACAAACAAAAATTCTACATATTTTAAGTCTACAACTCACTGTTTTGATAGACATATACATTGTGAAAGAACCTACCACAATGCAACTGCATAAAATATCCATCAACTCACATAGTTACCATTATCACGAGTATTATTTATATTGGCCTATACATGTGCTTTTTATGGTACTGTGTGGTATTAAAGAGTGAAAGGAGAAAATTATTTTTGAGCACACTGAACATTTTTATGTATCTATCAAAAGAAAAAGAAGCAATTAGCTGACCTTGCACTACAATATAAATTCCCAAATGTATATATTTATATAGATGGAACACTTCTCTTTAACATATTTATATGTTTTACTCTATGTAAGTAAAGAAATAGAATATCAGTCGTTTTTTTCAGTTGATTTTTAAGGAACAACTGTGAGTGTTCTTATTATTTTCAAGTTCATTTTTTCGTTGCGCATGTGGTAAGAACAGTTAAGATGAAATCTACCTTAACAAATTTCTAAGTGTCTGATGTGGTAATGTTAACTACAGGCTCTATGTTGCTCAGCAGATGTCTAGAACTTACTCATCGTCTTGTGTAACTGAAACTTTATACCCAATGAACTACCCATTCCCCCCTCCCCACAGCCCCTGGAAATTACCAACCTACCCTTTGTTTGTATGAATCTATTTTAAGTACCCCATGTAGGTTCCCTTTTAAAATGACAAATGCTGGGGTGCCTGGGTGGCCCAGTTGGTTCAGCATCTGAGTCTTGATTTCGGCTCAGGTCATGATCTCAGTTCAAGTTTGAGCCCCACATCAGGCTCTATGCAGACAGTGCAGAATCCATCTCTCTCTCTCTCTCTCTCTCTCTCTCTCTCTCTCTCTCTCTCTCTCTCTCTCTCTCTCCCCCTCCCTCCCTCTCCCTCCCTCCTTCCCTCTCACAGTTCATGAGTTCAAGCCCCACACTGGGCTCTGGGCAGACAGTGCTTGGGAGTCTATCTCTCTCTCTCCCTCTCTCTCCGTCTCTCTCCCTCTGTCTCTGCCTTTCCCCAACTCAGGCACGTGTGTGTGTGCATGTGTGTGTGTGTGTGTGTCTTTCTCTCTCTCAAAATAAATAAATATACTTAAAAAAATAAAATGACACTTTCTGATTAGAGCAAGAAATAGTACCGGCATGTAAGAGCCCTGTGTTAGTTAGCCCTTTGCCATGTGAAGAGCAAGAAGGGAGAAGCAGCTTGTCCTGCTACTGGAGCTTGGGGAGGGGGCACAGGTTGTTGCAGGACTCTCAAGAGGGGAGAGGGGCTATCAGGGGTCCCCAAGCTGCTCGCAAGAAGGAGAGTAGGCTGCCTTTATCATTCCTCGCAGGAACCAGTTTGTGAATGGGAATCTGAAAGATTCAAGATGTCATTCCGGAACAGTGGACACACACGGCCATGAACCAGCCAGGTTAAGGGTGTTTATGCTGAGGGCATCTAGAAACCAGTGTAAAGATTCAGCAGGCCTTTCCAAATGGAATAACAGGTCAAAACACAGTGGTCTCTACCAAAACCTATACGGGAAAAACAAAACTCTTTGCTTAAAAAAAAAAAAAAATCTCAGCCCAAAAGCAGTATAAAGATAAAGGCATTCCAGCTCAGTGGCAAGAAGCCAAGCTCTGAAGTAGCAGTGTTCGGATGTCAATCCCGGCTCTCCCACCTCCCACCCACCTGCCGCGTTGCCTTGGCTACCTCCCTGGACCCGGTGTTTGTTCCCTGTGAAGGCAGTGCACATGGCGGTACCTGCCTCGTGGTGTGGGTGTGCCCTTTAGGCAAGGAAGATAGAATCCACGTAAGAAGCTGTTCGCGCAGGTCCAGCCACGCAGGACATGCTGTGGCCCTTAGGGAGCTGCAGGTTGATGATGATGGCCAAGTGCCACTGAATCATGCTGGCCCGGCCAGGACCCTGAAAGGATGGAGCATCGATGGGGCCAGCCTCCTGTGACAACAATAACTAGTTTACTTCCTCTTCCATGTCCTCTGCGAGCCCGTTGCTGGGGGAGAGTCCCCCACCTGGCACAACGGCAGCGTGAGGGTAGCCAAGTAGGCTTCAGCCCATCACAGAAAAGTGTGTCGCTTCCCACGCTGGCTCGGACTTTATAGCTCACGATCAAGGCTTGAGACTACATTCCTTTGAAGGAAGGACTTGGTGGAGATCTTAAAAATAAACTTTCCATTCTGAATTTGGTGGCGGGTGCCTTCCCTCACGGTGTTCAGGCCCCCAGATGACATTTTAGGTCCCGCCTCTCCCGCAGACCCACAAGCGGATTCTTCCACTGCCCCGTTCCCAGCAGGACATGGTTGACCCTGCCAGTTTCTCCTGTGCCTCACTAGATCTGCCACTCTGCGCTGGGGACTGGACACGTTGGAACGTCCTCCGGCATAGCAGGGGTATGGAGGCTGCTTTGTAACAGCCACGAGAGTCACCATCTCGAAGCACTTTTGATAAATGGTAGTGTGCAGAATTGCTAGTATAGACCTGATATAGACATCAGCTTCCAGAGAGTGGGAATCCACTTTTCTGTGTGGCCAGTCCTTGGGAAGGACAAGCCAGTCCGCTGAGAGAGGCAGGGTGACCCCCGAGCGTGAATGAGCATCACAGATCTAGGGCCCGAGCTGCACTCTGCCCGGCTGCGCCAATTGAAAAGCCAATAGACACACTCTGGAGAGTGCAGCCCATGCGGAGAATAGCGGACGTGTATCCACGAGGCCTGGCTACAACTCAACGTAGTTCCACCAGCCTAAGTTCTAGTTCTGGGCTCATCTGTGGCCATTCTTTCTCACAACTGGTCACTCTGCGGACGCATGAAAACCTATCATGGCACCTGCTAGGGCAAGAGACAAGTTTGTAAACTCAAAGACCACGTCATCCAGCTGTCCCAAATATTTATTCAGTGCTTACTCTGTGCCAGACTCTGTTTTAAGAGCTTTCTCTATAGCAAATCCTATAATCCACCCAACAGTACCGTGAAGCAGGGAATATTGTTGTCCATTTTTGACAGATAAGGACACTGGCACATAGAGGTTCGCCAACTTCCCAAAAGTCAGACCGCTAGGAAGGGGTGGAACCGGGATGTGAGACCAGTCAGAATGACTGCGCTTCTTCCCCTCGCACTGTGTAGCACACACAACCGCCATCTTGGCTGTGGAAGGCCCACCTCACAGAGGCCCTGCTGCTGTCCTCTGTGAAGGGAGGAACGTTCAACGAGGCTACCCCCGCTTCATCCCAAGCTAGGCTCAGGCATGAATACTGTGCAGACACAGTGTTGGAGTTAAACTAATCTTGCCTTTTGTCTTCAAAATGTGTCTTTTGATGAAAAGAGCAGTATGCACCATTTGACTGCTAACAGTGATCAAAGATCAGAACGAGGGACAGGATTACAAAAGGTTGCTGTTAGAAGGTCAGCCATTTTCAGTAGTTGCTTAAGTAAATTTTGGCTTTTCCTCTTTACACTCCCCAAACTAACCGTCACATATGGGACACTTGCAGTCACAAAGCTTTCGAGGACTTGCTTTTATGTTGGTGATTCTCATCAAAAGACTGCCCGTTAGAATCACCTGGGAAGTGTTAGCAAAAATAAGATGCCTAGGGGCGCCTAGGTGGCTCAGAAGGTTAAGTGTCTGACTCAGGTCATGATCTCACAGTTTGTGGGTTTGAGCCCCGTG